AAAATTCTCTTTATTACACTTATTCGATTATTCATCGCTTTCAAGTTAACGTGTGTTATTTCTTTGCAATAAGAATAATAACAATAATTTGTAATTATATTTGATTGTTACTATGATCGAATAATTGTGCATAAAAATTTGGTTGTTGTTGACGAACACCTCTTTTATTAATTTTGGTTTTCATTTGGTTTGTGATTTTTGGAACATCCTGTATATTCAATATACATATTACCTGACTATATACATATACACATACATATCTATATATACGCTATAATTTACGACATTTGAGAAGAAAACTAGAAAGAAATCGATCGTTTCGTTTTGGCCAATATATGAAAAGCCATCTAGTCTATTTCGATAGTGCATTGTGATACGGTACGTTACATTTTCCGGAGAGTTTACTCCGTTGGTCAGATTTGTAGGGAAGGATGGTAGTTCATGAAAGTTCGATGACGTTTGCAGATCCATCGGTATAGCACGAATAGCAAGTTGTTTCGACATAATCGATTCGATTCTTGTACATTTATTAGATTCATTTTTAACGATGGTATTCTGATTGCTGTTGTTTATTTTCTCCTCTTCTTGATTTTGCCAACAGACAATAAATTTTTCCACAAAGTCACCGTAACTTTTGACCTTTTGTCTTCGCACTTCTGACCGATTGCCCTCCATTATGCACGATCATATTTTTAAAGGACAAAAGGTTTCCTCCGCGATGACATTGAGATGCTCGCTGAAAAGATTTCTTTTTAAAGTGATTAACTAAAACATGAGTTAGCTTGTGTAACGTCGATATCAAATTACAATGGTAAGTTTGTAACAACAGTTCGAAAGTTTGGTTATACCAACTGCATTAGCATTACACATTGTTTGGAAAAACTAAATATTCCATTTTGTTTAACATTCCTTTATATTCTTGCACATATTTCACATGACTTTACTGTTATCCAAATTAATTAGATCCATCCAATTTAACTGTAAGTAATAAGCTTTCATAGCAAATTTGTTGCAGAGAAATAATTTCTGATAAATTGTAGCAATTTTATTTTCAACTTGGACCAAATGAAACCTAAAACCTTGTACATAAGTGTACTTATGTAAATGTAATAAATGTAATTAAATTTTTGACTGTGAGAGTAGCTTCTTTCACCAATGCTTTGAGTCACAAAACAGGGACGGCATTATCTGTGATACATTGCCCTCAGTTCTACTAATGTTCACATTTTATAGAAACCAGCAATTGATTCCAAACTCTTGACTAGTAGTGCATATATATATATAAATGTAAATGTGCTTATGTGTGTGAATGTTATCTTTTATTGTGTTTCTGATAAATAACGAGTGTCGGTCGAGAAGAGATAAGTTTGATTGTGCGTTTGATTTGTTGACGGTGAGAAGGTCGTAGTACTTCGTGTCAAGTTCACTGTCTTCTCTCCGCAAAGTTTGCAAGGACTAGTTGTTCTTCGAGAAACTCGTAGCAGTTCAGACGTCATTCGAATGAAACATAGCAAGTTTCGAACTTCCGCAAATAGGAAACGCATATCTCGTTGTTCCGGTTCTTTCTTTATTTCCTCGTTATTTTTTTATCATCTCGTTACTTTCCTATCGCTACTTGTGTGAATATATATTTTGTTTTTAATTATTCTTATAATTGGATTAAATACACAAGAATACTCGGAACAATTTTATTCCTTTTTATTCATTATTTATTTCATTATTATTCTTTAAATTGAAAATACAGTTTATTATTTTAATTCCTAACAAAATAGTTAGACGTGTTGTTAAAGAAAGAGAGAAAAAGAAAGGGAAAGAGATAAAGAGAGACAGAGAGAGAGAGAGAAAGAAGAAAGAGTACTCACTCGGAGGACAGCAGACGAATAATATCACAGTAAACTGCATTATATTCAACTGTACACTGTTCGTGTTTTGTTGCCACGCATGCGTAACATTACTATCCTTAGAGAATTTCGCAACATGTAAACCAGGTGGAATAAAAGCAGGATAACTGTCGTATAGCAGTGGTCTTCAAACTTTTTCAGTTTACAGAACCCTTATGAGCGTAACAATATTTCATAGAATTCTTACTCGTAACACGACAAATGGTATTGATATAATGTAATATATGTAAAGAAGAATTCGTGGAACTCTTGGGAAGGTTACATGGAACCGCAGAGTTCTGTGGAAAACGGCTTGAAGATCACTGATAAAAATTTCGACGCTTTCTTCAAAACTCATTCTTCTATTTAGTGTTTTAAAAATATTTCATGATTACCGTAAAATCGTTAACACAGATTCAGACGATCGAACACAGTATAGTGTTTAATCAATTTTCAGATAAAATAAATCGATCTCGTAAAAGATTTTTTTTTGATGAAGTATAAGAGAGAACTAACTGGTCGCGAGTTGTTGTTGGAGAAATTCAAGGTCAGTATATTATCGACGTTCCACGGATCGAAGCACCTGGAAATTCTGACTTCATCGAGCGAAAGGTTCAAGGTCTCTCGAGAATATCGTCTCGTTCGTGCAAGACGATTACTTGCTTGCTTACTTGTTCCCTCGAACACCAAACTGAATTCTAATCATCCGTGATAAGTAATAACCAATGGGAACAATTCGCTTACTTAGTAACGAGTTTCTTACTTCACAATGGGACTATTAGGTCACCGAATGAATTAGTTCTCAAGTAGCTTATTCTCTCTCTCTCTCTCTCTCTCTTTCTTTTTACTGCGATAGTTGGAAATTAAATAAAAAATAGTAAGATAATATATGCATACAATGCTCGCGGACAAAGGTGTGTCAAAGTTAACAAGAGGAGAAGAAAAAAGAAGAAGAAGAAGAAGAAGAACGATTGTTAACTACCCACGCTTGACCTTCCTTCATTCGATCTGACGACGAGTGGAAAGAAGAAAAAGATAAGGAAAGAAAAAAAAAGACATTAAACGGAGTATAATTACGTCATAATACTTTTTCGAGAGAAGGTGTAATTACGTTCTTGATACACATATACGTATACACGTATATGTTGGTACTTATCGCCTAGTTAATGTTTGCGAAATGATTAATTATGTTTGAAGTGAAAAACAACAAATTTCTTCATACTTATTTTTATATTTTTATCGTAATCGTTTGAACAGAAAAACAAACAATTTCATCAAATCCTTTGTAACTTTATTTCAATTAAAATTTGTATTTTTTTTTTTTTTCATTTACGAGAATCAACAAATAAAATGTATATTTATAAATTTATATGTGATGTGCAATATCTTGCCATTCGTATTCGTAGTAGGAGTTAACTTGTCACTTAACTGACACTGGCTTTGATTATTTTATAGGGAACAGGTAGATATCTGAGATGGGGAGGAGGTGAACTCGTTCACGTTTTTACGTGGTTTTCATGGACGTGAATACCGTGACGATGTCACGCGAGAAGAAGGTGCGAGCTTGCGGTTTGTCTCCGTTCTGTATCTCCTAGTCCTGATACGGATAAATCTGTGAATGTGGGTTTAGAGCAAGGAGGACTACCATCTCCTTCTACTTTACTTTTTCTCTATCTACACTCTCGATAACGGTCATCCTTGGTGATATAAATTATTTATAAGAAGATTCGCGTAGCAAGACGCGCGTTCTGCTTGCTCTCGCAAGTCTAACCGTCTCTATGGTTATTTGTAATTGTAATTTATTTTCCCTTGTTGAGAGAGAGTTACAGGTATACCCTCCTACTTGTTAGACACGCGGTAAGTCAAGTATCGCAATTATATACCGGATTCGTTCTTCGTATGAACAAACGAATGGACGTATGTACATACGAACACAACATACATTCACGAGTCCGAGAAAATCTAGTCTTGCTTGCCTTATCCGTGATTAAACGTTTATGTACATGACGCGTTGAGACCTTACTTGAGTACACACACCTTAACGATAACTTTAGATTTTTCTATTGGAAATTGATCGTTAGTGAGTATCGAGATATTTTAGAAAGAAGAGGAATGAAGAATATCTCTTGTGTTGGAAAGTTTTAGGCAAACGTGGGTGTTCGAAAGTTAACCGGTGGGTTTACCATTCACGTGCCACCAACCTCTTTCAAACTGTCAAATATTTTCTACTTGTTCTACTTTTATTTTGAATATCACGTATTTCGATATCTGACAATCCGAAAATGATCATCTCGAAAATGAAAATAATGTTATTCCGAAGATGAAGATGGAATAAAAGTACATTAGTGAGGTTTGCTCGTGGTAGAAAGAGGACGAGGTTTCGTCGTCGAAAGGGGACTGAAAAGACGAAGGAAATGACGTCACATTATTATGGTTACGGATCTCCGTGGTTGGTTGCGGTTGACAAACCAAGCGTCTATGATTCCGTTCTCCTCCGATCCCTTTTGGTATCCTTCTTCTTCTCCTCCTCTATATTTTGCCTTCTGCCTCTTCCTTTCTTCGAGGATTGCTCTTTTGTTAGGACGTCGTTATATGAGAGACCAAAGTAGCCTTTGCTTTCTATCCGAGCAACTGACATTCGAAACCGGACGACCGACCACTAGAGTTGAAGAAAACAAGACGACGTTTCAGTCCTCTTTTCTATTCCTATGATATTAACGTTCCGTTCGTTTGCTTCGAGAGAGAAAGAAAGAAATGGGATAGAGAGAAGAGAGAGAGAGTGATAGCATTATTTGATTTTTGTAAGCCATCCTGAAAGAGTTGACTATTTTGAAAGACCAAATCTGGCTTTTGAAATTATTAAAGACTCCCCAAGTGTTGGTGAGTGGATGATGAGGGAAAAACACTGTTGTTATCGTTCACAATTTCAGAATAAAGTAATTAAAATCAAATGAGAATTTAGATAGGATTCAATGAAAGTTTGTGAAAAGTTGAATTTTTTTATTAGGACAGTTTCGCAATTATTAAATTTTCTTGCGTTGGGATTGGGATAGGACATTATTGTCATAGCTGAAAATTTGCAAATAAATGAATTAGAAATAAAAGAGAATGGATAGCAAATTGTCATGTCATTTCGTAGTTTTATTTTTGATCGTTTGTTTGTGTATTCAGTAAGAATTATATTCGGATGGTGGATATCTTTGTCCTTTGGTTTTGGGTACATCGAATACGTGGGTCGTTAGCTAGGTCATACACTGGCAAGACAAGATGCCATATATGCGTCGAGTCAGCGAACATAACCGATACGTGGGCCAAAGGAGAACGAGAGATAGATAGATAGATACATAGATAGATAGATATATAGATATATTGATATATTGAGATAGATAAAGAAAGAGAAAGAGGAAAAGAGAAATAGATAGCATGTGCCTTAACCCAATCGGAGAATATATCGAGAACGTGCGTTCACGAAGACTGTCATAATACATAATAAAATCATTCAATGATTTACGTTCTTCCAGATCGATCATCTTATTGTATTACGGATCAGATATTTTATTTCTAAAATCATATTCAGTGGTTATAAGAATATTTTTTTGCATTAAATATATTTCATTATTTATTTATACTTACATTAATTTCAAAATCGTATTTAATATTTATTTGCAATAAATATTTTTACATTTTCCAATGCACATCAATCATATGCATCTTATTGTCAATGCATTTGTCGTCAATTTGAAAATATAATATATCATAATCATCCTCACTAATATCACTATTATTATTATCATTCATTAAAATTGCTTACAGCTTTATTACTATTTTTTTATATCGTTAGAAAATTAAATGAACAAAATGATGACAACAACGAAAAAAAATAGTTAACTTTTGTCACTTGTTACTTCATTAGAATCATTTTCGAGAGAAAACGTTTTGCGAGATATCTCGTAATCCGTCCGTAATGTATGTTTAGCTATTTTAATTAGCAAGAATGATAATGAAGATTTTAGCTCGCTCACCTGCAGCATCTCGAGACGCGATGACGCCTGTGGTGCTGCCATAATCGAATAGATGTATATTTCCTCTCCTCAGAGTTTCTCGATCTTGTGTCGTCTGTAAACAAGTAATTAGATATTCTCAATATTCAATCTGATTAATAGAATAATAGTACGATTTAAAGGGTTTGTTTTATCTAATTTGTTAGGTACAATCGTTTACGCATTCGTTCGTCTCGTTTAGTTTCGTTCGTTCGTTCGTTCGTTCGTTCGTTTGAATGCCAGCACTCTTCTAGCACTTTGGAGCTTTTAATGACGTCATTATCTAAATTAAACCCAGAAGTGTGTGTTTGTATGTGTGTTTGAGTGTGCAGTAGTTGAATATGCGTCCAACTACCAGTTTCAAAAGTAGTACTGGTAACTCACGCTCAGATTTTCACTTTTGGATACAGTCTGTTGCATCCGAATATATACTTACCTATACACACATACACATACACATACAGATACACATACAGATACAGACAGAACACTAAACGAGTTTCGAAGAAAAAGGACGCTAGCGCGGGATTAATTTGAACGCCTCGAGCTCGAGGCCCAGTTCGTTGAAGAATCGCATCGTCGAGATCGATGAGAAAAACGATCGAAAGATAATTGATTTAGTTTCTATGATCCTCAGTTCTAAGCGATCTAACTTTTTTTTTTTATTAACACTTAACAGACGAACTATGTATAATTGATTTAGACTATTGTTTTCTTTTTTTTTTTTTTCCTGTCAATTTTTTACAATTGGCGAGGTAAATTTAGGAATGTGAACGTTTCGTGAAATTGTTCAATGTAGAAAACAACATGCTTCGAAAACTTGTTTTTTTTTTTGCGTTACTGTAATTAAATTCAAATTAAGCTCGTGTTGTAAAATTGTCGTGTTTCAAATTTAATACATCGTTCTCGCGTCTTTTTCATTTATTTATTTTTTATTTTGATTAAATTTTCCTCCTCAAAAAATGTGATCTGTCCTTTAAAAATAATAAAGTGTTACTCTTAGTGTTACTTATGAATACTGAAGGATTCATGATTGAAACAAGAAAGTACGAGCTGATATAGAACTCGCCCACGTTTTGTATCAATCGATCCACCCACGTCTAAAAACCGTTTGATTTTTTACTCCTTGCAAAAATCGTTTCAGAGAAGAGAGAAGCGTGAGAAAGAGAAAAAAACAAGAGAGCGAGTGGAACAACAATCGTGTTCGTGCTTCGTTATCCAGCCATAATACGAAGGGTTCGGATTTAATACTTTATGATCTTTATTATGGAACAGGTGGAGAACAAAGTGAAAGCATGAAGCTACGATCGAATAATCCAAAGTACAGAACAACTTTTTTTTTTTTCTTGACTTTAAGTTCTCGAAGGTATTTTCAATAAAAATGAATCTTCGTAGAATTTCTTTTTATTTTTATTTTTTTATTTTTCTTGTTTGCATTTCATTATAAAGTCAAGAGAGATAGAGAGAGATAGAGAGAAAGAGAGAAAAAGCATGAAAAAGTTGAAGCTAAGTTGCGTTCGCAAACGCAGACGAGATAATCGGTTTTGGAATACTAGAAAATCGGTTTAATAACAGGATTGAATATTCATGAAAAATTTCACACCCACGTAGAATCGAATATACCACGTTGTTGTTCAATCACTCGGATTGCTTACTACGAAAAATCGATTCCTTTTTTTTTTTTTTTTGCTGAGTTTTTTATTTTTTTTCTAACTGTTCGACAAACTACCGATTGTTCTCGTACTCGATTATTTATTTTAAAAGTTTGAATTCTTTATAAAAGTATATTTCTATTGCGAATCGAAACAACGTGTCGTGCGATTACTCGGTGAAACCAAATTATTTTCTAATCTCAAAAAGATACATGATTAACACACAAAACACACACACACACACACACACACATATTTAAAATAAAATATAAAAAACATATAAAAAATATAATATATGCGTAGATTGAAAATTTTTTAAATAAAAATATTAACACGTTTAATGTCACGTTAATTTTCCATGGTTTGCTCGTGATTACTAATACGAATTCGTTAATATGCATATTATGATAAAATATCATATAGAACAGATAAGTTAATGTGTATAATCATATGCAACGCATTACATGTGCAACCGGTGATCACCATGGCATTTAACGCGTTACAAAATTTCTAATAATTATAATACAAAAATATATATTATGAAGCATTAAGTATTTAACTTGTTTACAAAATATATAGCAATATAAAATTATTTATACACCTCTATATATACAGACATACATACATATACACATGTATCGATATATCGTTAGACATAAACCGTGAATTCGTATTACAATAGATTTTGCATACAAAGGGATGAGTTGAGTAATATCGATGGTCCATTCAAGTTCAATAACACCTTCCGAGATTATTCATGAAGGTGGAATCGCAAGTTACTGTAATCGCAAGATTTCCCCTTTGTGTCAATGTATTAGGTATTTCATATAATGATAGTCGTAAGTATAAATCGATCTGGTTAATCATCAAAAGAAGATCATTTTCTAAATGGTGATTAGGTATTAATCGAATCAGTTAAAAGTAAACGTGGACGAGTACGAAAAAAATTGATATTACGATTACAATTATTATATTACGAGTTATGATATTACGAGTATGTCTGAACAGAGTTGAAATCGAAAGTTAGCAAAGAAGAATCGTATTCGTCGTTCGCGCTTCTTAACCATAAAAGACTTGTCGCTATTACGTCATGGGTTAGTTGTGAGTCACGATAGCTGTTTGTCGTCCTAAAAACGCTACTATTGCGACGACACGACACACTACTTGGAGTTAATAATTTTCTTAGAGGACAAGACTCGCACAGACGTACGAATAAATGCGAATGAAAAACAGCGTGAACTAAGCTTTTATTTCCTAACTTCTTCTATCCATGGTTTTACGGTACCGCCCTTTTTCCTACTACGATTTCCCATTCTTAAGGTTTGTGACATTTATAGAAAAATTGTACGATTATGTATTATAAATTATGTTGTCTTTTTTATTCACTTCGAAGATAATTACAATTTGTCAAGTTTTTCAAATATTTTTAAGTAAAAAAAAAAAAAAAGAAAAAAAATGGGGAAGAAATAATTGTTAAACGAACTAATGTTATATTACTTTCTCATTTCTATATTTTAATTAATTTTTATAATGAAAGATAAACAAGATGTATTAATAAATTTGAATGTTTCTTTTTTGTTTTGTTTTTATCGATAGAAAGGGTAGACAAATTTTTTTATTACTAAAGATATTAAGTTAAGGTTAATTGTAATTAGAAAAAAAAATTAATTAATTAATTAATTAATTAATTTGATAGTATGAAAAATAACGGGAAAAAAAAATAACGTAGCAAAGAAAGATAACGTCGAGTAAGTTAAGTATTTGGTCACGCTCGTGTCCTATTGCCAGTATTATTTATAGTGTAACTGAAAATGTACGTTCGCCAGGATTACCATTACAGTCCCATGCGTATGGTCAGTGTGGCAGGTACTCTCGACTCCATTTCTATAATTAAACGGCGGTCACGAGAAACGTCAGACGGGATCCAATGCGAATTACATTCGTTTTAAAACGAAGGAACCATTTGTTAGAAGAGAAACGTGCGAACGTGCATTATACCACATGGGATGCACGTGTTGTGCACCCGGACGAACTTTAAATCGTAAAAGAACGTTCAAAACGTTCTGTTGGATCGTTTACGATATTTAATACAAATTTTTAATTAATTACAAATAAACGACAATACGAAATTATTCGAAACTATTCACCGTGTAATTGAAATTTGGCTTTTAAATTTGTTCGATTGTAATGCAACAATTATTTTGTATTTTTTATTTACTTTTTTTAATTATTTCGACTGATTAAAATCAGTAAAATTTAACGATTGGAAAAAAACGTAAATGCATATAACATTATTTTTGCTATCGTTAATAATAATTCGTTTAATATCGTTAATAATTGTAATGCATTGTATCATGCACATATGTTTGTTAATTAAAATGTTAAGATCCTTAGGGAATAAAAGGAAGAAGGAACAATGTGAAAAAACCATAAAAGCAATAATAATGTTAATATAATGTTTTTATGAAACATTTCTCTATTGACCGATTAAAATGAAGTTGAATATCTCTAACGTTGAAGCAAATCCTAACGTGTAATAATTCAGCTTATGAGCAAAATGGTATAATTGAGATTACTGCGATGTGAAAAAGTATCGTAAACACTTGGAGAAAGCAGACGGTCGATAGACACATAGTCTGGTCTCTTATAAACATCATCCCCCTTCTCTCCCATTTCCCCCCTTTCTTCTCTATAACGGATCTAAAGCGCGTGCGAACTCGTAAACGAGTACAATCATCTTCATTCGTAAGACACGGTTCCTTTTGCTTAATTAACCGCATTTTCTTTACATCTGGCACAGATTTTTGCAACGTGAGATTTACTTGATTAACAATTCTATCATTAATTTCTATAAATTAATTTTATCATTAATATATAATTTAATTAGTTATTTTATTTATTATATTAATTTTAACGTTTTGCAATTACATTTGTAAAAATATTAACTGTAATAAGGTAATTGAAAAAAAACAAAACAAGAAGTTACTGTTTGAATTTGTGCATTCTGATTAGAAATGTATGAGACATTAAATAAAACGAAACTTACTGTTTTGTCAGCAAGTAGGAAGGTTTATTCCAACG